CCTCCTGGGGATCCCCTGCACCCTCCTGGGGATCCCCTGCACCCTCCTGGGATCCCCTGCACCCTCCTGGGATCCCCTGCGTCTCCTGGGGATCCCTCTGCACCCTCCTGGGATCCCCTGCACCCTCCTGGGATCCCCTGCGTCTCCTGGGGATCCCTCTGCACCCTCCTGGGATCCCCTGCACCCTCCTGGGGATCCCCTGCACCCTCCTGGGGATCCCCTGCACCCTTCTGGGGATCCCCTGCACCCTCCTGGGGATCCCTTTGCACCCTCCTGGGATCCCCTGCACCCACCCCATGGGATCCCTCTGCACCCTTCCCATGGGATCCCTCTGCACCCTTCCCATGGGATCCCTTTGCACCCTTCCCACGGGATCCCTCTGCACCCTTCCCACGGGATCCCTTTGCACCCACCCCACAGGATCCCTCAGCACCCACCCCACAGGATCCCTCAGCACCCACCCCACAGGATCCCTCAGCACCCAGCCCCAGCTCCCAGGAGCACCCAGCCCAGCAGGTGCAGAGATGCTCAGCCAATCTTTGGATACAGACTGGTAGCTTAGAGGGGCTTTCCAGCCCGTGCTGTTGGGGAAGGGAGCTAAGACAGCCTGCCACCCTCAATGGAAACATCCTGCCAGGGACACTAAGCATGGGTGAAGACCCTCTGATTCAGGTTAAACCTGAAAAAAAGGCCTTTTGGGGAAAACATGAGAGAACCTTCAACTCACCCTAAAATAAAAAAAATACCTTAGTTGTTAGGATTACAAGAACACTCCATTGCGGGTTAAGTTGGAAACAGACTCAGATGTATCAAAACCCACGGATAGTTCTACTACAGTCTAAGGCTAAAACTAAGTATTTTTTTAGTACAAAACTAGTAGGTGCCTTTTCATGACTGGCAGCCACTTCTGACAAAGACAAAACTGCCAAAATGTTTTCCTAATGGAGTTTACACACTTAGTGAATCCAAATACATGGCTCATCCCTCTTGTTCCTTTTGAGCAAACACTTTTCAAGTAAAAACAAATGTATTTTGAACTCACATAAAAAATGAAGCAAAACCCTTTGTTTGCCTGCCACTTTGAAATGATGTGATCAGAGAGCAGGAGACAGGCAGGGAACAGTAGGATTGCCACCATGAAACTGTAACTAGAATGGGCTAATTGCTTTTAATCATATCCCATTCTCATCACAGCATTCATCATAAGAATAGATTAATTTCAGTCTGTCCTCACTGCAGCTTTTGTCTGCATAATGGTGCCTCAGGATGTTAATGTCACACAAACCCTGTGATTTTGTGCCTATATGAAGAAAGGAGGGCAGTTTGCCTCACTTTGCTTCTGCTCTAGCAAGGCTTTGGAAACATGACTCAGGTCCTGCAGGGTTTGTCTTTTGCCCAGCAGACACTGTGGAAAGAGGGCAAATGCAAAGCAGGTCAAGATTGTAATGAAAAATGTTCCTTTTTTTTTTTTTTTTTTTTTTCCCCTGCCAAAGGTAATGTAAGTGATATATTACCTGTTGGCAAAGTCTGGTCTTACCAAAGATTTTAAAGATAGGATTTATTCCATTAATTTAATGGGGTCAGGATTAGGAAAAGAAAGGGAGAAACACACTGTGTGCCTCTTCTGTAAGCTTTGCATGTGAGAGGCTGAACTTCTGAACATCACAAAGGCATCCCAAGGAGCTTAATCATGGTACAATCTCTAAATAGCAGAAAAGTGAATCTTTGTTCAATGACTTCTCCAACAGGAAAAAAAAACAGACTAAGGAAGGAATTAAAAAGTTAAACTTTGCACGTATCAAAAATGACTTAGAAAATACAAGAACAATGCCCTAATGACAAAAGTATTTTAGATTTCATGTAGTATTTGAGTAACTGATAAAGCAAGTGACCTAGTAAGGAAATAGCATATTGACAGGCACCTGAGAAACAGAATGAGACTTCCACACACTGTTGCTGATATTTATGTTCTGCTTGGGCATAAACATTTGCATGGACTAAGATAAAGGCACCTTTTTCAAGGTCAAAAAGTTGCCAAGGGCCATGATTTCTCCAAACACCAGAAAATCTATTTGAAATCCACCTAACAAACTCTGCAAATCCTTTCCCCCAGCAGCTGTTCTCTTCACACCCCAAACCCAGCTCAAACACACCAGGAGACCCCCCGTGTCTCTCAGCCATTCCAGTGGCTGGAGGAAAGGTCTGGGTGAGGTTCCTCCAGCTGCCCCTGTGCTGGGCCTGGCCAGACCCACCTCCCACCACAGGAGGGGACTGCAGCAGCTGAGGGCAATGGCAGAGGGGGGCAAAGCCTCTTGTGGCCCATGCTGAGGCACCCTCAGCCTCTAAGAGCTCCTGGCATAGACCAGGGGGTGAGGATCTCAGGGAGTGCCAAGTGCAGTCCTGGAAACTGATCTGCTGTTGCTCCCCCACTGCTGTTTGCAGGTGCTGTCTTAAGCTGGGAGAAGGAGAAGTATCAAGGCCTGGCTTTACAGCCCAAACACCAGTGGGAGAGACAGAAGGTCTACAGTCATATTGACCCATTTGTAACAGGACAAAGGATTTTAAGTTGTGCAGATCTGTAGCAAGTGTTACATGGGATTATGGTGGGATGCTCCTGGGCTTGTCACTGAGTGCATCATCTTAGCACCTCATAAGACACTCCAGCAAAAGCTTGGTGAATACTGTGCAAAGTAGCTACTTCTCTAATTCAGAGAAGATTAAATATTAATTTAATGAGCATCTTACCTGGTTTCAGGTGAGCAAATGGAATTTCACCTGTCAACAGCTCCCAGAGACACAAAGCATAGCTGAACACATCAGCCTTGATGGTGTACCTTGTGCACTGAGTGAACACCTCAGGGGCCATCCAGCGCAGGTTCTGTGCACCAGGAACAGCAAGAATCAACTCACAGGGTTTAATTCCTCATATACTCATCTTTTCCTGCATTTGTATGTTTGCTCTCCTTCCTTTTTGCATTTCCTTGCCTCCACTGACCCGTAAAACAATGGGGAAATTTGCTGGGAAAAACTGTCACCACAGCCTAATTTAGGCAGCAAATGATGGCACATTCTGTGACTGGCTCAGTCCCCTGATCCACACTGGTCAGGCTTGAAACATAAGAGTGGTACTAGAATACAAGCAGACCAGCCAGCCTTAAGGTCTGGAGGGCACCCCACAGGGTCTGAGCTTGTCACCAACACCAGCTCCCTGCTGCTGGTGGGTGGCAGAGCTGCTGAGCTCTGCCTTGGGCTGGTGCCTTCTCCCCTGGGATCTCACTGCTCCCTGCAGGAGCCCAGCTCTGAGGCTGCCTCACAGGAACCAGCCTCTCACTGCAGCAATGAGTTCCAGCTCCTTTTGCAGATTCCCTTTCCCTCAGTAACCCCATCTGCACTCTTTACCAGACAGCCCTGCCCTGAGGCAGCACCCAGGTCTGCCCTCCCTCCTCAGGGTGCAGGGACGTTGTTCCCCAGGTGCCTGCCCAGCCCTGCTGTGGCACCAGCCATCTGCTGGCAGGGTGCACACTTTGATCACCACAGAATGCACCTCAGGAAGACAACACCACTCTCGTGTAAAGCTGACCCTGTGAGCATTAGGCTTGTGATGGAGAAAAGAACTCTGACAGAAAAATAGGGTGGAAGAGCTAATCCCCTGGTAGAAATAGGGACCACCTGCCAACAAAGAGTGCACGGGAGTGGGGAAGGGTGGATTAAAACCATGACATTTTACTAAGGATTTTTTTGGGCAGTAGAGCCCCAAAGATAACCTTATAAAGCATTATTTGCTGTTGCAGATATTCTGTGTTCACTCATCTTTGCCATTGAAGAGGCTTAAAGGAAAAAAAAAACAACCCAAAAAAGAGACATTGAGAGAGATGAAATATTAAACCCTTTCATCTTTTCCAACAAAAAAATTCTAATATCATTTTCTCCTAAACTGAGTTTTCCTGCATATCTTATACTAAATATGTGGAGCAGAACAAGAAACAAACCCCAGGTTGTTTTGTCATATTGTCTTCATCCAGGGACTGCAAAAATCTAGATTCTGAAACACATAGAACAGAAAAAGAAAAATACTGTCAAGCCAGTACAGATGGTACCCACCTTATTGTACAAAAACACTGGTAAAAAGTTGGGTTTGTGTTTTGTGGTTTTTCTAATAACTCTGGGGTGGTGAAAGTCGAAGTGACCTATGGTGGTTGTTGCTGAGGACACACCCCAAGACAACAAACAGAATTCAGATTCATCAAGTACAGCCTAATTTTGAACACAAAAAGTTATAAAGGTCCATAACTGAGATAATGAGCTGCATTCTGCTCTTGTAACTAGAAGGAAAGCAACACGTCCTACAGCCTGGGGCTTGGCTGCCAACAGCCAGATGTGCACAACAGCACTGGCCCCAGATTCTGAGCACCTGCCATGGAAGAGGAGGGCACATCTTCTATTAGAGGCATTTTCAGCCAGCTGCTTCCCCTGTCCTGCCCCTAAGACTTACACAAATGGAGGTGTATCCACCTCACTATTGTCTGATCTTCCTCAGATAAACAATGGAGTACTCCACAGCACCTGCTAGCTTAGATGAGACAAAAACCTGAGGTATTCTCATCTCCAGAAGCCCTTTATCTTCTGTCATAATAACAAAATTAAGAGCAAGCTCGTCAGCACTTTCTTAGCCAGCACATGTTTTGATGTAGAGAGTTTGAAGTCAATCCGTAAAAGCTCCTTACCTCCAAAATCAGCAACAACTGCATGACCATCCTCATACAGGAGAATATTGTGACTGGGGAAAAATATTACAGATAATTGTTTAATAGTGTCTTAAAGATGATGAAAATACAGCTAGACTCTTGAGGAGTTCAAATCACCTGCTTGAGTAGATCAATGTCTATAGATCAACCACTTTTAGCTACATTGCATATTTATTGTTAGAAGTGCACATCAAGTCTGAGAAGAAAAATCCAACAGCTTCATAAAAGAAAAGGTCAGTTTCTAATCAATACTAGAACAAAATAATTTCTGTAATTAGTTTTAGACCAAGTGTAACAGCTGTATTCAATATCTGCACTTGATTACAGTGATGAAGTGAAAATGATGAGAGCTGAGTATAAACACAGTGGTAGCCTGTAAAAAACTACATGGACTGATTCTTTTCTCTTTTAAGGCTTGTATAAGTGCAAATTCCGAGTGGTGATTCCTAATTTATGCCAATGTGTAGAAGAGAAGGAATGGATCTGAAGAGTCCATGTAGAATGGATCACTGGAAACCATAAGAAATCCACTAAGCTGGGAAAAAACCCAAACCAACACAATGGTGAGGCCTATTTAATACCCACACTTGATAATGCAAATGTTATTTTCACAAGACAAAGGTCCTGTAATCCATAAGTATCTCCGTTTGTTTAGGGACAGAAGACACATCCCTTGCCCTGTAGCTTATCTGAGCACCTGGGATGAAAACCCTGGGGCAGGACTGGAGGTTTGTCACTTGGTGTGGCTGGAGGGAGGATTTCGGTCCTGCCCCCACTTGTGTCCCAGTTCTACAGTGTCCCTTTTCCCAGCACCTTTGAGATGAGCAGAGCACGGCTGATGACCTGTGCTGAATGGCTTTGGATCTAGACAGGGCCTCAGGCTGAGTGCCAGATTTCCATCTGCCTCAGGACTTGGGAGCATGCAGGGAATTTTTACCCTTTCCCCTAAACTGTCAGTGCAAAGCATGGTCCTTGTCCCTGCTGGGTGGGCAGAGCTGTGCTGCCCAGACCTGCAGCTCTCCTGCCTCTCCGTGCCTGGGCTTTCATCGGGCCAGATTCCACAGGCAGGGGTGCTGTGCAGCCCTTTGCTCCTGGGAATGCTGGAGGCCCTGGGCAGGGGCTGCAGAGCTGCCAAGTGTCTGTCCCTTCTGCCCCCCCGGCTGCAGAGCTGCACCCCAAATGTCTCACACCCCGTGTGGCTCATGGGGCTGCAGGCAGCAAGAAATCCCAGGAGAATGGGATAGTCATGCTAGACCTATATGTCAGGGATTATTTCCAGATAAAGTCTTCATCTTCACCCCAGACAGTATCTGGAGTTAGGAAGGAGGGAATAAATGCAGGGAAGTTCCTGTTTGATCAGCACATGCCTGGGCAGTCTCTGTCAGGACATCAAGAGATCAGAGACATCATTTATCAAAGATCATTTCTTGTACCAACACCTAGGAAGCTGTTGATTTCAGTGAGCTCTTTGAAACCATAGCAACTGCAGGTCGCAGGGAGTGTAAAGGATTGGAGAACCAGAACTTCACCTTCCATTGTCAGCAGAGATATTTGCAGGCTTAAAGTTAAACCTGCTGGATTTTTCCTGAAACTACTAGAACCAAAGAGGCAAAGGACGAGATTCGTGTGGTGGTTACACCCTTGTGTTGGAGGTAACGTGGAGACACCTCAGCTCTGTGTACATATGATTTGTTTGAAGACAAGGAGGGATGTGGATAATGTCTGGGAGGAAATCTGACCCTATGAATGCATCCCCTCTGTTGATGGGAGGATTTAAAAACATGAGCTTCCAAGTAGGAACAAAACAACTACAAAAAGATTTCTACACGAGATTATAAATGTTTCCTATGCATTTTATACAAGTGTCTTCTTGTGAGCAGGAAGGCAAGAGAGCTGCAAAACAATCCAAGCCAAACCAGAGCATTTCTAGCACTGAAACTGTGAAGAGGAAGATACTCACAGTAAATAAGAACCAGGGGGCAGCTGGAATGTTCTTCCCCCACCCGAGAGGATGTGGTGAAACGCGTGTTCAGAGAGATCTCCTTCCTTACAGCTACTAACAGGGTATTGCCAGGAACCCAAAGAGCTGCCATCTCGTCCCTGCCACACTCCATAGTCTGAGGGTTAACAAGTAGCCATCAGATTAACCACTCACCATCAGGTTCTAACAAATTAAATGTAGCTTTTCAGCTCTCCCTCAGCTCTTAGTTACCATTTTGCAATTTCATTAGCAAAATAACCCAAACTGAAAAAACAGAAATATTCCATTTCTTAAGTAAATTGCAAGTAGCAACTGGTAACTGAGATTTATGGAAGAGTTTAAAATGGAATGTCTGATGAAATTCAGAGAGGGAGAATTTCCGTAAAATCCATGCACTACTGAAAACAAAACCAAACCAAAACGTCTCTGACAGCAAGTCCTTCAGCTGGAAAGTTTCCAGTCAGCCCTGCCGAGGCTGATGTGCAGGCGGGTCACTAGAGGGGGATGCAGTGCACAGTTTGTGAGCTCCTCACATCGCCTCTGAATTTCCTTGTACTGTCGGTCTCTGTGATACGGATCAGTTGTGCCCTTTGGTAACACTTGGTTTAGCTTAATTGCACACGGTCATTCTGGAGAGATAATTCAAATTATATTTACCTTGCCAAATGAATAAAGAAAAAGAGCAAACAGTGACAAAGCATGGGAAACACTGGAGCTGGTAATGCTTCCTTTTTGCCAAGCCTGTTATCTCACCTAGCACTACAGATTCAGACAGTTTTGCATGTTGCTTTTGCTTGTCAACTCGCTGTGGAACTAAACCACTTGGGAGTTACAGCCTTTATCAGATAGACTTCCTTTTTAAAATCTTGGTTTTTTGTTGTATGTGCCCATTCCTTAATTGACTAAAACAGGAATAAGAAAGGAAAACAGAAGAGGAAAGATCTCTTTTCTCCTCTCACAGCCTTTTAATCCCCGTAAACAGCAGTGGGCATTAAATCAAACCAGCCTCTTTGAAATCCTTGGTTGTATTTCTCAAAGAGAGACACGTTCCCGTGTCATTCAGGAGAGACTCCTGGTTTTCACCAGCACTGTGGTGCTGCAAGCACAGCTTAGGGAACCTTCAAAACCTTAATCTTGAAAATCTATCTCTGTCCTAGCACAGTCTCCATTTCGTGGGTTTTGACTGACTGTGGATCTTGAAATTAAAGCTGTTGGCAACAGTCCTCCCTCTCCTGCAGTACTTCTTTATGGAGGGATAGAGAAGCAAAGGATTGAAGCTCTGTCAATCAAAATAAGCAAAATTGAATCCAGTCCAAAATGTCTTCTGTGTTTTGTAAGGGGCTCAGTCTAATCTGCTGGTGGGTTTTGCCATATGAAGTGAAGTATCCTGCTAGAGATAAGGTTTGAAGGCAGCTTTATGTACTGGATTTCATCTAGGCACTTCATTTTGAAGTCAGTCCAGCTTTGGGGAAGGTTTTACACTAGATGATCTTGGAGGTCCCTCCCAATTTAACAGCTTATGATTTTCTTAACTGTCACTTTCCAGGGGTTTCCCTTCAATCTCTCAGCATGCAGGCAGCTTTCCTTGCAACAAACCACATTGGGATTTGCTGAGGGAGTTCATTAATTCCCCAAGCATTGAGTAAACAGCTATATACATATTTATATGCATATAAATATGCATATAAATGCATATATTCCTATAATATGCATATTATATAAATATGCATATATATGCATATATTCCTTTTGCTTCTGCAGATCCATAAGTGCCTTTCAATTGCCTTTATTTCCCACTCTTCTCTCTCCATACAATCCTGAGTACACAAACCATGGGTCACTCACTGCGTGCTGACACGTGGCAGCACAAGCTCTCACAACTGGACTGTTCCCTCCACACATAGAAATACAACTCAGCTACACGTGCTCAGACCTGGCTATAGGAAGACTCTTCTCCTGCCAGTGCAGCAAACAGGAGCCCTGGTGCAGCCAACCAACACCAGCAACCCTCTTGGTTGTGTGGGCTGGAGATGCCAGCCCAGTGGCTGCAGTGTCCTTCCCAGCCCAAGAGCACACACTCAGTGCAGGAGAACCTTGGTGCAGGCTGTGCACTGCTGCCTGAGCTACTCCACAGCTACAGCTTTCTCATATACCAGAGGGAAAGGCAGTGGCCACCTCAGGGTTGTGGTATTTTCCCTTTGCTGCTCTCCTGAGCTACAGGGCTTCCACTGGGAAAAGTGGTGTGATTCATGTTCACAGAGTTTGGTGGAGTTGTTATAATTTGGAAACAACACTATCATGTAACAGTTACTTAATAAAACAAAACTGAGGTAACTGAGGAGGTGGGAACACAAACCACTCTCACAACACTATCCAACTTCAAATGGGAATTTGGAGTGGCTAATAAACAAGGTGAGCACCTACTCCATGGTCATTAGGAGAAAAATGCAAGTATCTAGAGAGAACAGCACCTACTTTACATTAGGAAAACAGAGGTCCTGTGATAATCCAAGAGAAGGTGAAGAGGCCAGCCAATAGATGGTAGACCCAGGGCACTCACACCATTTGAAGTGAAGGTAAGCTGTGAAGGAATGGATAGATTATCTGTTCCTTAAAGACCTGAATACATGAAAGTCTCAAATATCTTGGAAGCCATTGTTCCAACTGAAGTGTGTGCACCAGCCAGGCAAAGCTAGGGCCCAGACTCCAAAATATTTGGGTCTAACAGCAGAGGACTGGGCTGGTTTGTTGATTCCCAGAAGGTCTCAGAGTCCTAAGGTGAGTGGTGACTAAAATTATTTGTTTGGTTTTATTATCTGCAGAGGGGGATGAACAAAACACTAAGCACTGGGGTTTGAATAATGCCTCCCACGTGAGAAAAATTATGTGCTTTCATTCCTGGCTGTGTAAAAAAAGGAGTATTTTGAATCTAAGTTGTTTTCCAGTCTTCAGAATTATTTCAGTTCATGTCTTGTTCAATGTGACACTCTCAGTTGAAGGTTTTTTTAGAAAAGAAGCTGAACTGTATGACATGAGGGTTTGGGAACTCAT